TAATGCCAGTTTGAGATGAGATGAGTTACAGTATTTTGTTATGATTGGAAATTTAATTTAAGTGACAAATCAAATCTAAAAGAAAATGTGTCTCTAAGTGTTGTCACGGGATCATGACTTTCTCTGGAATATCTCATTTAAATCCCTGCTCGCTCCAAGATGTGGAACGTTTTCTGAAATCCGTTTAAAGCTCGAGCTGCTGCGGAGTTGGTTTTGACCGAGCGCTGAACATTCATGGGAACCAGCTCTTCCTGCGGCTTTTGAATGCGTGCCAGAGCTCTGAGTTCTCTCAGGGGGCTGCTTGGTCGCTCTGTCGTTGGTTTGTGACGTAAAAAAAAAGAAATAAAGAAAGAAAAAGAAGCTAAGCGAGGGAATCCACTGAGGTATCAGGCCTCAACTGTTACAAGCCAGAGAGAGGAAACTGTAAACTGACTGATAAGACACAGGATTCAATGTGGTTGAAACCCCCAAACTGCATTCTGCACATAAATGCGACTCCAACCGATAAGCCACAGAATCCCCAAAGGTCACAGGTCGACCACAGCGACCGGTTCATACAGAGCCATCTACAGGACACAGAATCTCGGGGTCACGCGGGTGATTATGTGGAATTCTGGAATAATCCATAACATTGATCTGTGAGTTCAGTTCCTCTCCCGGCCCGAGAGGAGTGGGAAGATAATGGAGTGACACAGAGGTCAAGATGCAGCACTGCAGTCTTTTCTGCTGAATCATAGTGGGATGACGACGGCTGCACTGTAATCTAACTCAGAGCTTTTTATTTTTTACATCTGTTGCCAAGGGAGCAACCACAGAGCTGTAAAGAAAGAAGAAGAAGAAGAAGCTACATGTCTTACTCTTGGATCAAATTGAAGTTTTTTCCAAACATGTATGAATTTTTGAGCTTACATTGTTCATCCACTTTTATTTAAAATGATTCGGGATAATGTGGGAGTCCTGATCATATATCAGCTTTGAGACAAGCATTAAACTAAATCTCATATCAAATTTAATAGCAAAATGAGTTTGGCGAGAACTTTGCATCAAACGACCAATGAAATGATGGAAAGTAAATTTATTAGGCGTAGATTTAACAAGTGCTGTGATAAAACTTTTTTCTTTTACTCAGCAGCTTCTCCGTGTTTTATTTTGGAAGGAAAACGCTCATTTGAGCTCGACCCCACACACGAGGCCCGTCTGCAGCCACATCACAGACAATGTGCTGTTATGTATTTTAAAGGAGCGGGCTCAGTTGACCTCTGTTGTCAGCGCCCTGTGTGTAGTCTGATTAAAGCGTGATGACAAGACAAGAGTTGAGAGTAGCTCAAAACTTATCAGCGCACAAACAAACAGAGTATTTACCTCTGCTCTCATTCAGCCTCTCTGTCTCTAACATCAGCTTTTTGATCCTATACCCACATCTCCACCTCTTCTCTTCTTTCACGTGTAACCACTCGTACACACAGTTTGCTTGATGTTGCAGGTATCTTCTGTGACCTCTGTTATCTCATGCGTTCTGTCCTAAGCTTAAACAAATCTCCTATTTCCATGCAAGTGTTTGTTTGATGCCGACCAGCCGAGTTGAAAATTAGATTAACCGGGGCCACGGGAGTCCAACGTGAGCAGAGAGAGAGAGGGGCAGTCACACTCTGACACGGCTGCAGGAGGAGGAGGGGAGATATCAAACTGACGCAGCCTGGTGGACAGATAGACAACGGCACGTCCCACGTTGATGAGAGGACTCGAGGACTGACGCCCCTTTGACTAACTACCGCCACAACCAGAAAAACACAAGACAGAAGGCCTGTTCGCTCGTGGTCCGACAGTGAGCTTCACCTCTGACCCGTGAGGAGCATCCGCCAGATTCACCGTCTCCAAGTCTGCCGTGAGTATGAGACTCTTCATTCATCACAGCTAATGGATTCTGGTTGGAGCCGAGATAAGTGAAATTACATTTAATGCAATCCAGTGGAAGAATAAAGCCTGTCACACCGTTTTAAAATCAACAAGAGAGGAACCTAATTGAGTCAGGGACACGGTCCCATCTCTGGTGATGCACAGCTTTACTTCTAATGGCTTTTGCAGCATTTTAATGAAGAAATAAAAAAAGAGGCATCACTTATGATCGCTGCATCTGTTTAAACACTCTCCTGGATGTTGGTATGTGGATGGAGTTACTGCAACTCAATCGTGTCCACTCTCCGGATTCAGGCCCCCTGGCTGAGATCCTATCTATGGCTTTGGTATGCACTCTCACTGTCCGTCGCGCTAACGTGAAGATAAGTCCTTCCATCTTAACGACGGAGGTGAAATACATCCAGATGAAAAGTTATTCAGTATCTCGCCCTGAATGTTTGCTATGTGGCTCTCCCCCTAGAAAGTTTGGCTGCAGCCCCGGCCTCTCAAACGCAGTAAACTTAACACACCCGTGTCCGTAGGGCCCACTGATTGTCTGTCTTTTACAAACATTGACATATAAGGGATGGGGCAGGGGAGTGCACGGCTACATTGCACCTTTTAAACAAGAGTTCACCTGAATGCATCGCTGTAAACCTTCACTGTTTGCAGCTCAGATGATCAGAGTTAAGGCCTCACGATGCGATGAGCAGCAGGTTAAGTCCACAAACGATATCAGCGCCCAACAACAGAACACTCACATCAGACAAAGAGGCACTTCTACGCAGCTCAGGCTCAGAATGTGTCGTACTTTGATTACCGAGCCGCCGCAAAGCCCTCACTCAGAGCAGCACTTCAAGGCTGTGATCTGCTCCTTTCGTGTGTGTGTGTGTGTGCGGACATGAGGACGCAGCAGGAAGGCCTCCATCTGTTTTCATGTGAGTGTGAGAAACACAAGCGGAGGCATCCAGGAAGTGTGAGATAAGTGGTGAAGAATAGCGAGTGACCGCTGACAGGGGTTATCTGAGGTTGGACAGCTCCTGTAAGCTCCTCTCCACCGGGCAGCTGAAAATGTGACATCCGTATATGAGGGGCGGTTTTTTTTCTCTGAGGTGGGTGTGGAATCAATTTTTGACATTTTGAAAGGAGACTTAAATGTTCGGTGTTATCAGCAACCCATATAGATCATTCTGTATTTGGAAACGGTGCCTTGCACATGCATAGCTAAAGAAATATTCGATTCCAAGAAGCTGCTTCTCTAAAATAATCAGATTTTGATTAATCATCTCTTGACTCTTTGCAGAAGAAGAGAGGGAGAGATAAGGTTCTCAAGACATACTTATAAAATATTTACAATTTTGACCGCTCCCTAAACTCCCTGGATATATTCCCTGGAATTCCATTCATTGCAAAACCAAAATTTATAGGATTTCACTTCAGGAAAGGGTTTTTACAACAGGGGGTGCAGCAGCTCAGGGTGGAACAACATCACACTCCCACTGGAAATGAGTCATGTCAAACAGAGGAGAGCCCCAGATGCTATCTCTAACTTGTGGTGGTGGTGTGCCGGGTAAACCCACCGGCACATTCACACACACTGTGAATCATGAGGATGACTCCATGACGACCAGAGGGGAAAAGACCCCAGGACACACCAGTAGTTTGTGTTTGTATTTGCCGAGGCAACAGAAAGTTGATTAATTTCCACTTTGGATAAAGTTCAAATAACTTATTCCAATAAAGAAATCAGATTTGTGGCCAGAAAAATGTAAAACATCACATTGGTTTACATCAAGAGACAATATAGAAAATAATATATTGGTTGTAATCACTGCTGAGCAATCCACAAGCCTCATACACATAAAATATGTTCTTATTTATTTATTTGAATCTATAAAATTAATACATTCTTAATAATAAATGAGAAAATGTTGGATATAAGATTTTTTTTTTTTTAAAGATGGGGATTCCGAAGTACTTTGTTGCCTCATGTCCACAAACTGTAACACAATCTGAAACCGAGAGAAACAGAAACAATCCTCGAAAGCGGAGAAAGCAGCTTTTAGTTACCACGACAGCCAAACAATGATCCGTCCTGTCACTACACAAGCAGCGAGTTAGTAACTAAGGCAACCCGTGCGCTATTACGCATGGCCCGTCTATATTGGGAACCCTGGCTGCGGACCAGAGGGTCACTCCATGACGCAGCGACGCACGCAGGGCGTTGTTCTTCCATAATGAGACACTTTATAACAGAACGTCAGCCCCTGGCATCAATCTAGTCCGAGAGAGACGCTCAGAGGAACTACCGCTGCACCGGGACTCTTTGGAGACAACTTGTTTTTTGCTTCTTGCGCCCGAAGCTCCTTGTTTTTTTTTTTGTGGAAATAAAAGCAACCCCGCTCTAAGTAAGTGAACTTTGGACTCTTCTTAACTTTCATGTTCAGCTGAGCTCAGCTCGGCTGCGGATGACAGCAGGTTTTTCTCCCCGAGACACACGCCGCTCCAGAGCGCGCACAGACGGGGAAGGAGGGCTGAGCTGCCGAAGCCAAGAGACATTAAGTCTGTCTGGTTAATAATCATTCATTTGACTAAATCAACAGCTTTAGGTCGGACGGAATCTAACTTCACTGTTTCATTTAGCTGTTTAAAAAAACACTGTGGTCATTTCTCAAGACAGTTTAAATGGTTTAACGACGCAGTTTGAAGAAACATATTTAATTTAGTCTTAGCGAATAAAAAAAGAGATGAACTTCAAACTTGAATAATGTCGACAAACATCGTGTTTGATGGCTCGTGCATTAAATATTTTTAAACCCTTGTAATGAAATGAGATGGCTCACATCTGACAGTCAGGTCCTGAAGTTGCTCCGTGAACGTGCTGCAGCGACACACCCATGATCCACCGATCTGACAGCCCCACACACACACACACTGACAGACTCTTGCCTCCTCTTCTCATCACTGTTCAGATCTCCTGTAAAGATGCTGCTCCTACTACTGGGAATCATCCTGCTGCACGTCGCTGCTCTGGTTCTCCTGTTCGTGTCAACAATTGTCAGCGTGAGTAAATTTTCAATTTAACATCACAACATGTAAGAAAAACTTTACTGATCATCATCCTCATCATCATCCACCTGCGCTGCTCCTACAGTGACTGATGATTATTAAGAGAAATGAATATTTAACCACTGTTGTGTTTGACTATGTAAATGATTCTTTTACTTGGAATGTTAAACTTTGAATGAACTGCTCATCGAACATCATCACTGTGTGTTGCTGACTCCAGGTGTGGACGACAGGTGAAACCAGCACCTCGGACCTCTGGATAAACTGCTCCACTGCCAATGGGCCATACCAATGTATACCGGCATCAACTGGAGGTCAGACACCTGCCTAACATTTGATCCTCACTCACTGTAACCTCTTGTTTACTGTGCATTCTCACTGGTGGACATTTTAAGTCTCGGTGATGCTGTAAAACTGTTATAATTATTAGGATCTCTTCATTTTTGTATTCAACACGGCTCCGACTTAACTTGATGACTTTGCATTTCAACCATGCACATTCATATTAAAGGGAGGGGCTTTGAACTGTGGAAAATGTCTTGCTGGAATCCAACATTCACTATGTTGATGGTGTGGGTGTGTCCCGGCTCCTCTGGGACTCTGGTGCCATCTAGGGCAGAGAATGTGGCAGTGCCGTGCTGAAGTGGGAGCTGATAGGCTGCCGCTGTATAAATAGTCGTGGTGTGATGTCCATATTCAGGTCTCGTGTTGGGAGCCCACAGTGACAGGAGCCGGAGAGCCGGGGACAATCAGGGTGGGGCCGCGGAGAGTATTTAAAGTTTTAAATCTATGTGTGAAGTGTTTGAAAGCAGCAGGGAGACCTTGGCCCACCTCAGGAAGAACATAGCATTCTGAGGGTGGGTCACGCCCAGTGTCAGATCGTGACGTCCAGTGTTGGTTTGCAGGGATCATTAGGACAATTAAAGGCAACAGCTGCAGAGGTGCAGATTTATCTGGAGCCACCTCCACGAGGCTGAATTATAAAAACAATCGAGATTCCAATATTTAAAAGAAAATAAAAACTCCATGGATTTAACTCAGTAACTAGTTCATGTGAGATCTCTTCGGCCCCGGACGTGTGTTTTGCTGTTAAATGTGCCGGCACAGTGGTGCGGCCCTGGAGCTGCTGGCTGCAGCCGGATGATGTCATTTGTCTAGAATGAGCCGCGCTCAGCCAGTGTGTGTTTTGTCAGGGCAGCAGCGCCTGCACACTCTGCCAGGTAGTTTGATGGCGCAGCCAGTTTGTTTGACTTGCTTTCATTAGTGCACTGACGCAAAATGTTTATTTAAGACGTGTGTGTGTGTGTGTGTGTGTGTGTGGGTCTGAGCTTTGGCTTTGGGAGATGGAAGATAGTGGTTTGTTATCACACAGGGGCCAAGCCTGCAGTCAAAAGGGCTTTTTATTTACTTTGAATCTTTGCTGAGCGATGAATTTCCCTCTGAAGTGAATCATAATCACGGCTATCGGTTATTTTTAGGACATTTCTGCAACTTCTGAGTTTCCCCTCGTCGTTGCCTCGGTTACAAAAATATTGGCTTCATTTGGTTTCGATGACGCCGGGGGCGCGAGGTTCTCGCGTCACATGTGTTGTCTCGAGCTAAACGTAGGTAAACGCATCACTCATCCTCAGCACAGAGGGGCGTTGGGTCTCAGAATAGAAGAGAGGAAGACAGAAAAGATAAACAGTTACTTTCCTGTTTGGAATTACAGTGACAGGATTCAGCGGCGCTTCCGCATTGTCGCAACAGTTGTAAACCATTCACGCAAGACTGTGAACATGAGTCATACTCGCTTATCAGTAAAAAGCCGTGGACTTCGCCTCATGTTAGGAAATGCCCCATGTCACAGCTTCCTCCCCCTTTGCCTGAGCAGGAAGGATGGAGGACAAGATGACTGCGTGTTAGAAAGCAGCGAGGATCTTTTTATAGATGAGGACGGGAGTGGAACCATTTCTCTCTGCGTTATCACATAACATTATGTAACATCTGAAAACAGGATTAACAATAGAGGGGGGTAATTCTCGTGGAGGGAGATTCGCAGCAGTGTCGGGTTTCCTCCCATATCTCGTCCCTGACCCAGTGCTCATCACTGTTATTGTAGGTAATCTGATTCCAGCATCTGCAATCTCCACAGATACCGTTTCTCTTTAACTCTATTGTTGTGGAAAATGGAAAGCGTTTTTCCGTAAATGGCCACAGAGAGAAAAGTATAAACACGTTACCAGGTGATGGGGTGTTTTTTTATGAGCCCTAAGTGTTGAAATGTGGTCATAAAGTCATAACAGCACATAAAGTTGTGTTATTACTTAATCATCCTGTTAGTGTATGAGCAACACTGAATTATGCATCACGCCCCCACCCTCCATTAAAACCACAATATACCTTTGATTTACATTATGCACGAGAATCAATAAACCGCAGATGCCTGAGAAAGTTGTGATGGAAACTCAACAGGAACGTTAATGTCCAAGTTTGGAAGATGAAGCCATCGTGAAATCTCACTTTCTAATGACTTGTCACAGGACGTAAACAGAAGTGGCCGTGCCAGCAAATTCTTGGGGCTGAGATGGTCCCAAAAAAACGTGACATTTACAACCGACAATAAGCCCAAAGAGAAGAGTTGGGCAGATACAGAGGGGCGGAGAGCGAATGCTTAGGAAACCTTAGAGGCCACATAGCCAGCATGGATAACCCTCAGACAAGAAATAGACCCTGGTTGGAAAATCCTGGGATTCCTGGCATGGTGGCCCAAATGGAACACACTCTGGTCAGACAGCACAGATACAGCAGCACAGTCTGCTCTGCTGATGATGGCATCTAATGGGTTAATGGCCGCCTGGTCTTACAGGACCAGCACTAACAATCAATATGGTGCATTTAGTCGTAGGCTCCTGCTGCGAGGGGCGTGCAGAGCTTTTAGGAATAAGATACCGAAGTTCCCACTGTTATGGATCCATTACACATTCCCAGAAGTAAACATCAGCTCGCTCGTTATGTTTGTCTCTGAGAGGAAGGCAAGGCCACGGGGAGCGCACTTCACAAAGCAAGCATTTGTTTTTATTTGTTTCCTCTTACCCTTCCCTTCGCTCATTAAGTTGATTTTATATATATATATATAACTTGTACTCTGGCTAATGATGAATACTTGTCTCTGGTTATTGACAACAATCTCCCCTCTCCTCCTCTACAGAGTGGATTCAGGCGGTGCAGGCTCTAATGATCCTATCCATCATCTTCAGCTGCCTGTCTCTCTTCCTCTTCTTCTGCCAGCTCTTCACTCTGCAGAAGGGCGGACGCTTCTTCCTCACCGGAACCTTCCAGATCCTCGCCAGTGAGTTCACCCATCTCACATACCCCACCGACAGCACGACTGAGATCAGATGAGACGTCAGAGGCGTCAAATGGACGCTGCATGGCAGCGATTAATGTGAAAAAAGTCGTTTTCCCTTGAAATTTACTGTCTGGGCGGCAAATTCTCAAATTTGACTGAAGCTGTGAACTGCATCTTCCGTCGTTCACCCGATCAACTCGAGTAAATAACATTTTCGGCACTCTGATCTGCTTAATTTGCACAGCAGCGCTTGAGTAGCCTGAAAATAAACAAGTCGGTCAAATCCACCCACACAGACAAACCAACACTGCATCTTCTGTGGCAGAGAATTCAATTAGGAGAGTCTGGACCAGTCACTCATGGTTTGATGCTCCGCTTGTCTATTGTGTGCTTCATGCCCTTTGGCCAGAGAGCGGCTCCACTGCCGGTCCATTGTGTCGTTCTCTTGGCAGCCCTTTCCAACATCCCAGGTTCACTCCCTAACACTGTGCCAGCACATTGCCTGGCTCACAGGTGCCCACTCAGCCAAACTGCCAAACAGGAATGACACCGGGCGCTCTGCCAGCCGCACAAGTTGAAAATGTCAGGAAGGCTGGCGGTGCAGTGCGGGGGTCTGACAAACAGATCATGCCATGTCGGACCAGGGAGGTGGGCAGAGCTGGAATGGTGTTCAATAAGCATGAGACGCCGTGATGTAATGTAATGTAGAGGGATGCCTTCTGGGAAAACACAGACCTGCTCGCCTCCGCTGCCAGAAAGGGTTCAGCCCGGGACACAGAGAAGCAGCAGAGAAACAGGATCTGATGGTTGGAAAAATATCTTGCGCTCACTGTTTTTCTCCTCTCGTGCAGGTTTGTTCGTGATGAGCGGAGCCATCATCTACACGGTGATGAGTACGGATTGGGTGCCGGAGACAAACGCCTTCGGCTTCTCCTACATCCTGGCGTGGGTGGCCTTCCCCTTGGCGCTGATCAGCGGACTCATCTACGTCATCTTGAGGAAGCGAGAATGAGCCGTCACTCCATCCCAGTGTTCCCAGTAAAAAAAAAACCCCGGCCCCCGGCTGCCTGTGTCATCAGTTCTCCTCCTCGAGTATAAGTTGTGATGTGAAAAGTAACCGACGGAGTCACCGGGCCAATAAAGCCAGGTCACACCAATGGAGGGTGGGGGGGGTTAAAAACAACAAACAACATGCAAACCAACACAAAAACAACCAATACTGTCTCATTTAAAAGATGTATATAGTATCTATGGTTTAAAACCTATTTATAACACTTTTTACATATATGTACATAGTTTTTGTGTTGCTCCGTCAACAGATACTTGTATGAGCTTTGTTTCAGCTGATTAAGTGCCTCAGTGTTTGTTTGTAATGATGAAATAATTAGATGCTATTTTGTTGCATTTTTTTTTTTTTTTTTTT